TAAGAAAAAGGTTTTACTATGATCTTATATTTACGGTTTAACATTAAATAATTTTTTGTTTATCTGTTATAACATGATTTCATATTTAGCTATATGATATTATATTTGTGACTCATTAAATAGCATATCGTTTTACTGAAATGACTTTATTTTCCGTTTAACATGCATAGGTAATAATGGAAACTTTTTTTCTGTCTTAAAAACTGTTTTTATCGACCAAAATATAAAATGTAAACGTTAAACCGAAAAAAAATATAATGTTTTTAGGGGTATTGATTAAAATAACCACTTTTGTATTTGTGTTTTTTTTAGAAAAAACCATTTTTTTTTTTGAAAAGTGATCATCTAGTCCGGAATAGACCATTTCATAGTGATGTTATCCGACCTGCCCGACCCATTCCGTATCGGGTTACCATGATATCATCATATTTAAGATTGAATGGGCAAAAGGGGATATGACTTCTGACTCCGATGAGTTTGAGGTTTTACAGGTGCGTTCTTAACTCCTTTCTTCTACTTGTTTAATTTTCTAATTATAAGTGTAAAAACATCAGTCCAAAACACAAAGAACGTGTCCGGAATGTTATGTTAGTTATTAGAAGCCGCCTTAATTATGTAGTTTTTTAGTATTACTAAAGACCCAAAGTATTAGAGAATTACTTACGTTGGCGATAACATGTGAATATCGTATTCTGGAACACATAGATGAATTATGGAACATGTCAAGAATACGACAAACTTGTCCGGTATACGATGAACTAGTCTGAAATGTGTAGAACAGTATGTTCCGGAGCACCATTTACAGTCTGGAATTAACTTGAAAGTTTTTTTTTTTTTTTTTTTTGGCAACATGACAACATTTTTATGCTTCTCTTACAACGTCTTGCAAACCTGCAATTCCTGTGGATATTCTTACAAAATTCACAAACTGACCGTCATGCGAGACTATGTTTCGACAAACGTGTTTTGGTAGGTGATTAGATATTCATGTCGACATAGAAGGGAATCCTTTGCTTTTACATTACATATTCTGCAAATAGGTTGTGACACACCCTCGAAACGAAGTACATCACATGGTTTTTGAGATCGAGGAGTACGAGTTGACATTTAGGAAGAGGGAAATTTGTTTTGTCACCAGCTTTTAGTTTGTTGAATATTTTACAGTCTCGGAGTCCGATCACACCTTCCCATTATATGTGTTTCCTCTAGTCAATCCAACCGTCTCGGTAAAATTGGAACATTTTATAAATATATATGAAATATCTCTTCATGAGTTTTTCGATCAATATTTTGTTTGGTACCCGAAAAACCGAATGTGATTCATTGGGCTGTTGGATGGTCCAAGCTTAGGAAGTTACAGAAGCAGCAATGCAAAATGTTTCTTAATGTTGAGGGGGTATAACTATTTATATAAATTTCTCATTTTCATCCCTATTTATAATGATGTTAACGATTGATGTACAATTATGTTAGGAAGATAATAAGCTTATAGAGAAATTACCGCCGACAACGGATGAGAGTCATGCTGGCTGGTGGTTTTTTAACTCCGCATGAATTTAACATGACACTTTACCTAATTCACGCGATCATAGGGAAGTGTCTCTAACACCATCACCTAACATGTCACCTATTTATGAGCCTTTACAAAAGCATGCACAACGAGATGTTGGAAAAGGTTCATATTAGAGGAAGTTATTAGCATTTGATATGCCTTGTGTCGAGGCTGCGTTAGGGCTGCATATAGATCTTAATGATAAGGGTACCATATAGGATGACAATATGCCACTAGGGTTGTATGTACGTTTTTATTTAACTTAATTGTATACTTTTTATTGCACTGTTGATTATTTAATTGCATGAAGTTGTTACATTATTGTAAGGTTACAAGGTTTCCCCCGTGGAACCACTTATCATTGAGGATCATGGTACGTTACTGATGGGTTTTAGTATACTACAACATCCTATGGTGCATATACAACCCTAAAAGCTTTGGATCTATGTTTTCTCTAATTATACATGCAATATTGTTTCCAAAGCTTTAAGCCTACAACTAGCATACAAATGACATAAACAAGATAAAATACTAGTTGGGAGTTTACCTCTTTGTGTAGCTTGTAGAACTTGTAGTATTTGGCCTTTAAGAACTTAGCACAAATAGTATGAAATGCCTCAAATGGAATCACAACACACCATAAACAAAGGATGACATTTTGAGAGAGAATCCTAGCCACCAAAATCGTCCATATTCTCCAAGAATACATCACACATCATTTTGGCTATGGAGTAACATATTTATATGTGGAATTCCAAAGGTCATAGGTTAACCATAATCCATACCCATGGGTTTATGATCCATGGTTCATGTGGCCCAACTCTTTATGTGTCCATACATAAACTTAGTCCAATATGGATCATAAGCCCAACATATAAATATAACTAATTTACACAATTAGTCCCCA